TATTCTTTAGAAGCACTTAGTACTTCTTTGATTATAGTTACCACTGCATTTTTAGTTCCAAAATTATTTCCGATCTGAGTTCTTCTATACCTTTCTGCAGTTGATTCTTTACTGTCAACGCTATTATTTCTGAGATATCTGGTGTGTGATTTCCAGTTTCCACAGTGCTAGTGTCTTCTGCAGTTGTACTGGGTGGACTCGGGGCCAGAGACTGCATTTTGTTCCTTCTCTTTGTCATTTTGTATACCACTGTCTTCTGTCTAACCTTTGGTGTAGAGCTTAGATAGAGTTATTACCTTAGCACCAGGTCCGGATCTACGAAGTTCAGATTCCTCCAGGTGGGTGTTGCTTGGATCTGGTTGCTGTGCTCCACTTCTTTCTGCTGCAGACGTTAGAGTTGAACCCTTTGTGTCTCTCTGACAAGATGTTCTGCTCCTGAATCAGCTGGGTGGGTCTTGCCTCTAGCCTCTTTGCAGGGAGTTCTGCTGAAGGATTCCGTGCTGGGCCTGTGCTCTGGGTCTATTCAGGATCCTGTGGCCTCAGTCATGTCACTCACTCGCAGTACCTGCGCTCCTGGTCTATTCAGGATCCGGAGGGTCCCAGGTCATCTCTCTCTGCCGGACCTGTGCTCTGGGTCTATTCAGGATCCTGTGGCCTCAGTCGTTTCACTCACTCGCAGTACCTGCGCTCCTGGTCTATTCAGGATCCGGAGGGTCCCAGGTCATCTCACTCTGCCGGGCCTGCGCTCCGGGTCTATTCAGGATCCCGTGGCCTGGGTCATCTCACTCACTCACCGGGCCTGCACTCTGGGTCTGTTCAGGATCCTGCAGCCTCGGTCGTCTCACTCCTATTCTCTTCTTTTCTGTTATTTGTTTTTTTGGGTTTTTTTTTTTTGACAAGGTGTTTCTTTTTATTATAAACATAAAATCTAAAATGAAATAAGAATGGTCATTAAAAGGTTAATAATCTATTATTGATTTTACATATGATAATGAATAGGAAAATATACACAAAACAGATGGTATTTCAATTCAGAGATCATATATTAACTGTATATTTTAAAAAACTAATCAATTTTTGAGACAGGGTGTCACTCTGTAATGCGGGCTGGACATGAACTCACTATGTAGCCCAGGCTGGCCTCGAACACATGGCGATCCTCCTGCCTGAACCTCCTAATGCTGGGATTACAGGCATGTGCCACCATGCCTGCCTTACATTAACTATAAGTAACTACTAATTTTCAGTTATGATTCAGCAACAAGTGACACCTTGTTGAGTAATTTATCTTGTGAATTATGTTATTTGTTTTTTGATATGGAGTCTGTCTGTATGGTTTAGTCTGACCTTGAATTTGCAGACATGCATGGGTTGGACTTGAACTTTTAATCTTCATACAGGAGCTCCAAATGCTGGGATTACAAGCGTGTGCCATTGTGCCCAATGCATTGGTTCTCTTTGAGCTTCCAGTGCTGGGCAGGCGGAAACTGCCAGGGCCAGGAATGTGTGTCTGTTGTTGTGCTCTTTGTTTAGCTTGTCTTGTCTTGTCTTGTCTCAAGGAAGGATGCATCGACTAGTCATCTGGGCAGTGCTGTCTACCTCCTGCATTGTCAGGACCCAGCTGAAAAGGATCTTGTGCGGCCTTCTGAGCAAACAGTGTAAACTCAGTCTCCAGAGAGTTGGTTGACAGAAGAGATGCAGGCTGCTTGAGCGCACGATTTATCTCTGCATCCTCAGTCCCAGGCCTAGCTTCTGTGTGGACAGGGATGGTTCCCATGAGGCAAGCTATTGGTAGGATTGGGTTTAAAAATCTGTAAATAGGCAGGCATGGTGGCACACACTGGTAATCCCAGTACTTGTCAGACTGAGGCAGGGGAGTCATCACAAGTTCCAGGCCAGCAAGGGCTGAGTTCAAAGCCAGCCTGAATCTCATAGTGAGACCTTGTCTAAACAAAATAGGTTAATATGTCCCCTGCCAAGTCCTGAAGACCTTTAGCAGTGGTTTGTAACCTTTCAAGCCACAAGTTTTCCCACAGAAACAAAGTCAAAGAATGCTAAGGGATTTTTTCCTCAGTCAGAAATATAGTAAGGACAACTCATTCGTACTGTTGGGTTTTTTTTCAGGGTCTCACTATGCAGCTCAGACTCAGTGATCCTCCTGTTCTCTGCCTCCCTAGTGCTGGGATTACGGGCATGCGCCACCATGGATTACAGGCGTACTCCATCGCCAGCTCATCACGCCCCGGGGGTGAGGCCAGTATAGCATGCGGTGCCAGGGATCAAACCCTGGCCCCTGCGCTTACTTAAGCAAGCAATTAGTCCACTGAGCTATCTCACCAGCCCTACATTCTTGCTATTTTTAATAGAAGAGTTGTTTCTAGTGAAAATCAATATGATCAGATTTTATTTTTTAAAAATGATACTAGGAATCGAACCTAGGGCCTTCACACTTGGCAGCACTCTCTACCCTTTTTTATCTTGAGACAGGGTCTGGCTAAATCACTGTTTCTCAGGTAGAGCCTTAGCCTTAGCCTTCCAGAATGGTATGATTACAAGCATGTACCACCATGCCTGAGTGCAGTTTTTTAAAAAATTAGTTGTTATTAAAAAGGCATTTCATCAAAAATTGAAAGTAGTCACTTATTGAGCATGTGTTTGTTTTTCCCTAAGTCCACAGTTCAGATTCTATTCTTGTTGAGTTCCTGTGAATTTGAGTAAGTGTGAGCGATGTTTCTTGTCATTGCTTAGCACAAAGCATTTCCTGAGTGAATGAACAGTTCACATAGCAGAGAAAGAAAAGGTCATATTAAGGATTTTGGCTCCTCATCACAGACCCCTTTGCCTTGTCCCCCTTGCTGTGACACGTACTGCCTATCTCTCCATTTCTTATGAGCATGACAGAAGTGTACCTGGAGGTGACAGCCTCGGTCGGGGTCGCTCAAGGAGCCGCTGAAGTTAGCGCATGGGTGGTTAGCATTGAGAAGTGTTTTCTGAGGGAATGAGGTATACTCCATTGCAGAGAAGCTGGTGGTGAGCTGTGGCTTCCAAGACCCTAGAGTACCTAGGTATTTGAGCGCTTGTCAGAACCCAGGATGGGGGTGTGCAAGTGCTGCCAGGGCCAGGTATGGCTCAGTCTGTGTGAGCACTAATGTCAGGAATATACACATTCATTCCCGCCCCTCCGGTAGAAATAAGCTCAGAACCTTGTGCTTGTCAGACAGGTGCTGTACCACTGAGATACCTCCCCGCAGACATTCTTTCTTGACTTAGGATATCGTACATACACATCTTTCTTTATGACTTTGGTCATTGGGGATATTTTCTGGGCGATTTTGAGCACCTTCCTACACCTGTCTGAACTTCTGTTTCTTTAAATATTGATAGTTTATCAAAGGTTCTTGGGTACTTGCTGTGCTCCCTAAGATCCTAGAAAACAGCAAATAAGATGACATAGTGTAGCAGAATTACATTGGGAATGTGATACAGAGGTGGAGCTGGGTAGGAGACAGGGGAGTGCAGACCTGCTTTCTGTTGATGCCTGACATAGGCCTAGTAGGGGACAGTGCCTATAGACAGCCCTGCTGGGGACTCCCTAGGGTGTGGGATGGCATTCAGATTGTGTGTGGGCTGGGTTCTGGGGAGTCATGGAGATGTTTGAGCAGGGAGTGATAGATTCTCTGGCTGTAGGCCAATGGATAGAGGGTGTAGGGAAACAGACTCCCCCACCCAGAGCTGCTACAAAGCTCTGTGATGGGCTGTACAAGACAAGTCGGTCTTGGGCTAGGCTAGGTGAGGGTCGAAGAGAGGATGATGTCAGGAATACAAGTGTGGCAAGTTGGGCTTTGCAGGCAGAGTTTGGAGCTTGGAACAGAAATACAACTGAGGGGGCCAACCAGATAGCTCAGCGGACTAAAGCACCTGCTCAGGCAGAGTGCAGGGGCTGGGGTTTGATATCAGTATGCTGTGCCAGCCCTACCCCTGGGGCATGCTGAGACAGTGATTGAGATTCGTGGCATGCATCTGTACTACATAGTGAGACCCTGTAAACACTGTACTAAATACAGAGAGAGAGAGAGAGAGAGAGAGAGAGAGAGAGAGAGAGAGAGAGAGAGAGAGAGAGAAAAGAAATACAGCTGAGTATAGAATCAGAACTGGCCCTGAGCCTGTGGTGAGAAATCTGGGTAGTTGAGCTCAGGACTGACCTTACAGTATTCCAAGGATCACAGCAGAGCAAGGAGAGACCCCAGGAGGGAACAGTTTGAAAAAGAAGGCCATGGCAGTGTCACAGGCCACTAAGCCTCCAGAGAGTCAGCCAGAGGAAGATTCCTCAAATCACCCAGGGGCACAGTGTAGAGGTTCCTGAGCCTGGCAGTCGGGGTTCTCTGTGTTGAGGTGAATCTGTGTAAGAGTGGTGTGCGGCCCCAGTCTATCTGGCTGGGCGTGCACCTCAGTGTTCCCTGAGGATGTGTGAACAGAAGGGGAGGGAAAACCTGGGAGAGGATGAGCTTGGAAGGCTGGAGGAGTGGGAGGCCTGGTCTGAGGGGAGTGAGGACATGTCCACTCCATTGTCCCTATAACAGGCAGTATCCCTGTTGTTTTCCAGTGCTTGCGCCTCCTGCGCCACCCCCACCCCCCATCCAAGGATATGCCTTCAAGCCTCCACCGCGGCCGGACTTTGGGACCTCCGGGAGAACAATCAAACTACAGGCCAACTTCTTTGAAATGGACATCCCCAAAATTGACATCTACCACTATGAATTGGATATCAAGCCTGAAAAGTGCCCGAGGAGGGTTAACAGGTAAAGTGATCTTTCCATGGTGGCCTGCAGAAGTGCAGTGTTCTGACTTTCTCCACAAATTTTCTGTGCGTTTTTGAAAAGTCTTTGTACTAAGATGAAATTTCAGCACAGTGAACACACATCATAGATGTATAGTTTGAGGAGTATTTTGTGTTTATTTTGTTTTTTTGAGACAAGGTCTCACCATGTATTGTAGGCTGGCTTTGAACTTGCTCATGAAGCCTAGGCTGGCCTCAAACTCAGGGTGAGCCTCCTGCCTCAGCCTTCGGAATGCTGGGATTTCAGGTGTGCCCCAGAACACCTGGCAGTTTGATGAGTTTGGATTTGTATACCCACCACTTTCTCTATCAATCTCTCGGTCCTAAAGTCACACTGCATTTGATTTCTGCTATCATAGGTTATTTTCCTATTGACAGAAATGACTTACCTGTACTACTCTTTGCATTGCAGTATTATGATTATTACTTATATTTTTTTTGAAATAAGGTCTCATTATGTAGTTTAGGCTAGCCTCCAACTTCCTGTGACCCTCCTGCCTCAGCCTTACAAGTGTCTGGATTATAGCCGCACCCCCACACCCCATATTGTTTTTGCTGCAAAGGAATTTTTCATTGTATGTTTCATAATTCGCCTTTTTATCTCCCTTTTAGGCTCTTAGCGGTCTAGACTTTGTCCATTTGAAACTGGTTGCCTTTTCATTTGCTTGGATTCACGTATTATTTTTACATATTAAATACTGTATTATTTCTGGTAAAATATCAAAGTATTTTGCTAATTTTGATTTGTGGAAATTTTTACTGGGTTCTATATGCACAGTTCCATTGGCAATGGTTTTTTCCACGTGCTGTTTCTTTCATAATGGTATTTCTCATGTGCAGAACTTTTTAGCTTTGTTGAAGTCCAATTCATAAATTTTTGAAAATATCTGTTAGGTATGTCTACTTTAAGAAATCTTTGCTTATAGAAATGATGGAGATGATCGTCTGGGTATTTTGAGAAGAATTTAATTTTGGCTTGTAAGTGTAGGTCTGTAGTTATCCTGAATTGACTTGTATGTAGGGTCAGGGAAGGGTCTGTGGCAGACACTTTTTCCCCTGTTGATTTCTGGTGGCTCCCTTTAAAAGACTGATCAGTTGATTGTTCATGTATAAATTTATTTGTGGACTTGCTTCTGTTCTCTCTGCAGGCCAGTAATGCTTTGTCTTGTTACCTGTAATTTTATGGGAAGGTTTCCATCTTAGTTGAGGTCTCCAGATTTGTTCTTTACAGTTGCCTTGGTTATGCTAGATTCTTTGCTTTTCCATGTAAAATAGAATAATAAATAGAAACACCTGGCCAATTCTAAACCCCCCAAGTGCCTTGTCTTTTTCTTTTTGCGGAACTAGGGATTGAACTCAGACCCTTGCACTTGCCAGGGAAGCTCTTATTCTACTGAGCCATCTCCCCAGCCCTGCCTTGGTATTTTTAATTTTTTTTTTCTTCTTTTGGCCTTGGTATTTTTAAACTGTGATTATTTTGAATATATGTATACTGTGTTCTTTGACAGTATTGTGAATATATTGTCTTAAAATTTTTTAAAATATATGTCACTTCTGGGCTGGGGAGATGGTTCAGTGGAATAAGCGCTTCCCTGGCAAGCACAAGGGCCTGAGTTCAATCCCTGCTTCCGCAAAAAAAAAAAAAAAAAGAAAGAAAGAAAGAAAGAAAAAAAGAAAAAAAAAATGTCGCTTTTTTTTTTAGTACATGTTTCTAGTCCGTGATTGCATTTATTGTGGGGCTGTGTACATGCACACAGCATATCTTGGTTTTGCTTTTTGCCCCCTTCCCCTTTTCTAGTTCCCGCTCTTCTTCACATTTCCTCTCTTACAGTTTTATTTTCCAGGAGCACAAAGTGTAGAGCTAGTATATTTAGGATGATTTAAAATGTTTTAACTTAGATTGTGGTGATGATTGCAAACTTCCGAATATACTAGATGATTGAATTATAGATGTTTAATCAGTAGATTTTATGCATACATGAATATCTTAATAAAGACGTTAAATTATTTTCATTATTTAATACAGATGGTGTTACTTCTTTATTTCCTTTGTACTTTTTATTTTTATTTTTGCGGTATGGGGCATCCAACTCAGGACCTTGTTCATTTCCATTTTGTTACACATTTTCTTTTTTTTCCTTGCCTTAATGCAAGTATGGGATAAGAGACCCAGTATGATGCTGCATATAGGTGATGGAGTGGATCTCCCTGTTTCATTGTGCTCTTGGAGGGAAGAATTCATTCTTTCATCTTCTAAGATGTGAGACCTAGTATTGGATTTTTATGGTGATTTATGATGACTCTTGCTAGACTGAGGGAATTCTTGTCCTAATTTACTGACAGTCATCCTGAGCAGTAAGTTGAATTCTATCAAGTATTTTTTCTGTATCTGCCGAGGTCATCATGTTTTTCTTTCTTTTTTTATTTTTCTCTTTTCATGTTAAAATGGTAAGTTGTATTTATTGGGGTGTGTGTGGGTGTGTGTGTGGGTGTGTGTGTGTGTGTATTCAACTGTGTTTCTGAGAGCCGTAGGTACTATTTCTGTGTAACAGTATGCACAGTGGCTAGTGGCTAGTGTTCATAAAATTTTTGTGTCTCTGGACACATTGGTCTGTCTTTTCTTGTCAGGTTTTTATGTCAGGGTTATATAGCGTAATTGAACAAGCTGTGAGGTATTCTTTCCTCTACCTCCTGAAAAGTAAAGAGTGAAGTTTATAAAATTTCTTCCTTAACTGGTTTGCTTGTTTGTTTAAGGGGTCTCACTATGTAGCTCATACTAGCCTTGAGCCCCTTATGTAGCCCATGCTGGCCTCAAACTAATAACAATCCTCCTGCTCAGCTTCCCAAGTGCTGGGGTTATAGATACGTGCCACCATGCCCAACATTTCTCTTGTTTTGTTTTTTTCTGTTTGTTGAATTTTTTCCCCACTATTTTCCTGCTCTGATCTTTATTACTTCTTTTCCTTCTGCTCATTTTAAGTTTAAATCATTAATTTTAAACCTACATTCTTTTGTAACACATTTAAAGCAGTATGTTTCCCTCTCAGTCTGATCTCAGCTATAAACCACAAATTTTGATATACTGTATGGTATTTTAACTCTCAGTTAAGTATTTACTCATCTTCCTCATAGTTTACTTAACTATAGGTTTAATGAAATGTGCTGTCCCGTTTCTGTTTGGGCATTTTTTTTTTTTGTTGTTGTTTTGTTTTGTTCCTCGAATGCCTTCAGGGCACTTTTGGCCAGCAGGAGAGTTGTGAGGTTCGAACTCCAGCAACCTGAGGCTGACAGCTTTGTGGAAGCAGCCACTTAAAGGCCTGAGCTAGGGCCAGGCCCCCTGTTTGGGCATTTTTTAAATTAAACAATTCTCTTTGACATTGATTTAATTCTTAATATTCTTAAGATTTCCACCTTTTGAAACTTACTGGGGCTTGAGTTCTAGCTCGGCGTGTGGTTTTTCTTGGTAAACATCACATGTGTACAGAAGGTTGTCTGTTCCAGAGTTGTGGAGCCTGGAGGTGTGTGACTGTTAGGGTAGGTGGTAGAAACACATCCAGTTTTTTACAGTTTTAACATTTTTGGGGTCCACATGCCTGATCACAGCACTTGGGAGACTGAGGCAGGAGGATCATCAGGAGATTTGCCTAGCCTGGGCCATGTATGGAACTCAATGTCAGACTGGACTATATAGTGAGATCCTGCCTCAGAAAAACTAAATAAATAATTACATACACAATAAAATTTTTTTTTGCTCCAAATATAATGTAGGTTCACTTATCTCTTCTCAACCTCCCCAGTGCTGGAATTAACAGCTGTGTGCTACCACACCTGGTTTTGGTGGCCGGCACAACATGCAGTACCAGGGATCAAACTCTGCTCCTTGCACTTGCCAGGCAGGCACTTTGACTGCCAAGCTCCCTTCCCAGCCCTACCTCTCTTGAGTATCTTCTGGTTGTGCATTTTGTCCATTTTGGAGGGTTTTGGCAGCATACTTAAAAAAACATTTTTTTTATTGTTTAATTTTTAGTACATGCCTGCAGTATATAGCAGTTTCATGTGTATTATGTTCATTGTGGGGAGTTGCTGCATGTATGCAATGCATCTTAATTCTTTTTATGTCCTCTTCCCACCCCTGTCAGGTTTTGCCTTTTTTGAGATTTGTTAATAAGCATATACATCTGTAATTCTTTTAATGACAAATTAACCCTGTTGTTATTATTAGGAAATGTTCCTCATTTTGTTCTGTTTTTTTTAGACAAGGTCTTGCTATGTAGTTCAGTCCGGCCTTGACCTTACTGTGTAACCCAGGACAATTTTCACGTCTCAACCTTTCAAGTGCTGCTGTTACAGATGTGCACCACCATGCCCTCTGATAATGCTTATTTAAAAGAGGTTTCCTTTGATTACTAATGTATTCTCCTGACCTGTCTTATCCTTGTTTTATATATGTTTTCCTGTGCTTGTACTTTTCACCTACATGTATATATCTGTATTTCCAGTGCATCTTGTAAAAACATAGTACTGTGGGGTCTTGCTCTTCCCCCCCCAATTTCTGCATTTTTAGTGGAGTGTTCTGTTCAGTCCACTTAAAGTACATGATTATCCAGTTTCCGTGTAAGGCTATCATCTTGCCATTTAAAAAGTTTTGTATTTCTTGGAGGAATGCTGGGGACTGAACCCCACGTGAGCATGCTAAGCCGGCGCCCCATCCTGCTGTGTCTCCCTCCCTCGGTACCTGTTTCCTTTCCTTTACTTTTTTTGTCTTTTTGAAATAGGGTCTCACTATGCAGCTCAGGCTGGCCTTGAGCTCACTTTGTAGCCCAGGCTGGTCTCTAACTGGCAACGTTCCTCTTGCCCAGCCTCCTAGTGCTGAGATTACAGGTGTGCACCACCATGAGTGACTGTACCTATTTTCTTGTTTCTATTTTTTTTTTTTTTTTGGAGTCATCATTTTTTCTAAAC